GCAGCAGAAATGGCACTCATTAATAGTATGCACACAAAGGACTTTTAACAAATTCTTTGCTTTTCATGGATGAAAGAAACACCATACAATGTGATGAGATGTATAAAAACTAAAATAAGAATTTGTTTCTTTAATTATTCTTGTCTCATTAGAATGTAACAAAAAAAAATTAAAAACAGGTTAAGTCAATACACACAAAAGTTCACTTAGCAAAACTCAGAAAAGTGCCTACGATTCTGCTGACTATAAAGAAAAAAAGCAACAAAACTTACTGTAGAGGACATGTGTAAGCAAACTCATTCATTTAACCCTCTAACCCTGCTAAAAAGCAGGAACTGCTGACCCAGAAGGAAGTTTGGCAGTTCTGAACTTGAGTGTTGACTTTGCTCCTGCAGTATTTCTCTAGCTTATTTTTAATTAGGCAACTGCCAATTAAAAAAATTAAAAAGCCAAAATTCCATCACCTTCTTTCACATCAGCATTCCCACAGGACACCCAGCACTTCTCAGAACTTGTACACTTTGCACAAAAGCCTCTGCCATTTGAACTACCCATAAAACTATTTCCTCATTTACCATGGCCCGTTCCAGCAATACACCTGTCTGGAAACTTCAGGGCTAATTACTGTTTTCAAGGAATAAATCACTCCAAAAGTTTTAGATTCCATTCTCAGCATCTAGTGGAGAAGATATCCCCTCTGTGGGGAAGATGCTTCAAATCCTTCCTGGCTCCTCCAAGACCGACACCATTCGACTCGGGTCCTGTTTGCTCTCCATTTCCTAACTCCTCCCTCCAGTCCTGCTCCTGGGCAGTCCCAAGCTTTAATCTCTCTGGTCCTCATGCTAAGGCCAAAACAGTCTGAAATTTCTAATGTCTAAATCCACAGCCAACTGTGGGGTCCCACACACACGGAAGACTTTAGCAATTCATTTGTGTTGTAGCACAAGGACAGAGGAGAGGATTGATCTACTCTGCCCATCCCCACGATCCATCTCCCATGAATGCTGATGTTCCCCATCCCCAAGTGCCAGACACACCGTGCACGGAACAGAAATGGAAAGGCAAGGCGGGGTGTGTTGTACAAAATGAGATATCCTGGGGCACATAATGAGATAACATCTATTACCATAAATTATGAAGTGATTTACGCATAAATGAGGGTTGTCATGAAATTTAATTTTAATGGTTTGATAATCAAGTAAGAAACACAATAATTACTGTACCTATGGTTTTCAATAACTTCAAATCAGTGCTAGTGGCAACACTTTTTTGTTCTCATGCAAAATACAATTCCCCTCCAAGAGCTGTCTGCTCTATTTTTCCATGTCAGAACAACCTGTTGATTACCAAATCACTGGGATAAACAAGCTCAGATTCACCTCTGATTACATTCAAAACATTTCTATCTTGTTGTGAAACTCCTTTAGCAGTGCAGCTGAATATCCCAAGACAGCTTTGCAGACAGGAGGCTCAGCTAGTCTAGAAAAACCTCTGAAGGCTGAACTTTCCAAGAGCACACGAGGGAACTTGCTTCCCTCATCATCACACGTAGCATGTTCAACTGGACAGATTAGTAAAACACGTTGACACCCCAGTGTGGTGTAACAAACATATTTTAAGTTAACTGAAGACCTTGCCAATACCTCAGCATCACTCACTGCCCCCAGAACTTCCACAGAGCAACTTGTCTGACAGATTTTTGTCAGGATACCAATTCTCCAGTGTATTTCCCTGTGGATACTGAAGAAACTCCTGAGGATGTAAAGCAGCAAAAAATAATTCAATTTTGAATCTAGCTTTGTGATGAACCTTAAATTTATTTTCAGGAGTTCAACAAATGACCTTTCAAAACTCTTTCTCCTCTCTTTTCTGCAATATACAACCTCACAGGTGAAGGAGGACAAATTCCTGTCTTCTCCTTCTCTCCTTAACTGAGTCATGGTTCTCTCCCCTCCTGACCACAAACCTGTGAGAACAAAAAACCTCAAAGTAGAGCATGTTACTAATTGTCTCACAATGGGATAAAAAGGAACATTTCATTTCATGTGGAAACCAGGGAGGGGAATATGAAGATCTCTAATTAACATCTTGGGATACAGAGAAAAAAAAATGAAAGGCTGATCCTTTCGTTTGTGTGTCTGCAGAACACGCAACGATGAAAGACAGAAAAATGAGTGAACAAAATAATCACTGAGCCCAAATTATCTTTCTTACTATAAAATGACAGGGAGCAAAATATGTTTCTCTATCCTAAAATAGAGAGAAAAGAGCATCTCTTCTCGGAAACACTGCTTATATATATATATCTCCAAGAACAGTTACAATGCACACAGTAAATATTCCCAATTACTGGCTTAAAAAATACAGCAAACTGTAAGCTTAAGCTTTTCTGAAAGCTAAAATGATAGTTTTCACTAGTCAGTAGAATAATCTTACTGCAGAAAAAGCCATCTATTTTCCAAATGGTCTTTTAATGCCCTAAAGGATGTCACTTTTCCTTACTAGTATAAAACAATTTTTTCTCCTGTAGGCAGCTGTTACTGCCCTGTCTCTAAGTTGGTTGAAGCAAACTCCACTTCAGACCTTGAAATCAAAAGATTATGTAGTATTCTACATATTTTATCCATTTTACTTAAACACAAGCTAGAGAACAGGAGGGGGTTGGAATGCACCAAGTAATATGGATACTACAAGATGGATCCCAGGGACTTCCCTGCACGGACTTTCTAAGCATCCAAAGTGGGAAGCAAAGAGGGGAGAGGGAGCAGGATGCACCATTATCCTTCTCTGGAGGTCTGTGGGTAGAAAACACTTTCAGTCACCGGCAATAACAACAGGAACGAAGAAAACAATTTCCTGCTCCCTACAATTTGTCAGAAGGGGAGATTTCACAATGATGGAGATGAATGGGGGGAGAGTAAATTACAAAATAAAAGTGAAATTGGCCAAAGCTGGCAAAAAAGTTATAATTTAAATAGATATGGATTGAGGAAAACATTGAAAATGAGGATGGAATCAAAAAGGTACAGGGCAGGGGAGGCGGGGGAAAATGAAGGTGACGGAAAAGCCTCTCTTTAAACATTAATCAGATATTAACAGAAATCAATGTCCAGAGAAAAAAAATTTATAAAAGGAGAATGTAAGAGTGGGATGAAAAACACTGTATATTTGGATTTAAAACCTTGGTTCAAATGCAAATTCCTGACAATGATTTTCCTATGTTAAAAATCAAAGATCTAGAACCATGGCTTAAAAAGTGGTGAAAATGGAAAAAGTTTCTCTCTTTTTTCTCTTTTTCTTTTTTGTAAGAGTAACAAAAGGCTTTTTTTAGGAGGAGGAAGCTAATTTTAAGGCCCAGTGTATGTTACACCTTCTTTTCTGTAGTAGATCCACCAGAATAAAAATTTAAACTCTGAACAACATGTGAGCTATAGACATACTGTTACAAATAGAAGCAATCATTGTTCAAGAAATAGAAAATAAATGAATTTCGAACCAACAGAAAACTCAGTGCAATTTCTAACCAATAGGAAAAAAATATTTTGCAATAAGAATAAAAACCCATCCTTAAAAGGTTTAAATACTTGCAACAAATACCCAATCTACCTTAATAAATTATTGTTTCAAAAGACTTACTGAAAGAGTTTGTATCTTTTACTACATAATGATTTAAGGATATTTAAGCTCAAATTATTAAGTCCATAGAAAAATAAAAGTAATTCAATCAAGGGGATGCAAAGGAATTTTATAACCTTATTTTTAACTTTATTTCTATTTGTTACATGTTCTTCCAAAAACTCAGAATGAAAAATTTCAAGGAGTTTATCAACTACAAAAATAATAGAAAAAAGCAAGAGGCATTAAAACAAAATTACAAAACAATACAGACAAGAACCAGAACATTTTGGTGACTAGACTGCTTTTTAAAAAAGAAAAAAGCCAATTCTTTCCAAATAAAAGTAACAAGCACTGTCTGTTACTGATATTTCTCTCCATTCCTTGGTAAAGTAAAATTGAGAAAATTCAACCTGGGTTTGAGTCAATGTATTTCCTCTTTGTTGAGCTTTGGCAGTCACCAAGGTAAAAATCATTCCCAATTTACTTCTATTGTTACCTATTCTATACTTCTTTTTGACAACTGCATTCCTTGCAATTGATGTGGTTTTACTCTGAATTCAATATTCACACTGAGATTTGCAGACATGAAAGTATCTCCATTTAATGAAGTTTATCAATTCCATGACCTCAGAGTGCAGCACAACTATCCAAAAGAAGACAATGGTGCAGGGAGCCCAGGACCAAAAATAAATATTCCCTTTTCCACATTTTCATCTTTTTTAAGATGAAAATGGTGTCTAGATGTAATGATCATCTGAAGAAGATAAACCAAGCAATGTAGGGTAGAGTCAGCAGCAGGAATCCTGGGCAGATATATTATGGCAAATAATGGTCGTAGTTAGCTACAAAATGAGCTTTACATCACTGTAGTGGGGTTGTAAGAATCAATACTCACAACAGCCTACTTAATCTGAAATATATTTTCCCACAGAGATTGGGATTGCTTTTTCTTCAATTTTATTTTTCCTTCCTGCAGTTTTCTTTGTAGGAAAGGTGATGAAAGGGCTGGGAAACCACAGAAAGAAAATTTAAAACTGGGAAAGGATAACGAACTAGTGAGATCAGGTTTTAACACCAGAACTACAGTGAGAGCACAGGAAAATTATATTAAAACATTGTACAAAAGCAAGTTCAATGAGCTCTACACCTCAGTGCCAACTAGTTCATATTTTGTTATTTTCAGTACCACCAGATTCAGAGCTAAAATAAATTCACTTGAAATATTGCTAAAACTTAGTGATCCACCTTAAGGAAAGCAAAACTCATACTCTTTGACATGTGTGAAATGTTTAGAAAGAAAAACAGGCCCCAAATGTCATCAATGGTGTATAAACAAATAACAGGGTTAAACCCAGGGCCCTTTTAGTGCTGAGAACACTCACCGCTGACACTCCCCAGTGTGCAGGATTAAATCTTCATTATTCTTAGCACTGATGGTCAACTCATGCTCTGTGGAATTGAAGACATCAAGGAGTAGGTGGCACTGCCTGGTGCTGTCCAGATAGGGGAAAAAAGAACAGCACAAATTCAATAACACAGCAGTGAGTTATTATATCAGAATTCATATCTATGAACAAATATAAACATAGATTAAAAAAACCCCACACATTTCCATACAGGTTTTATATCCTACTCTGATTTTAAGAGTATCTTATGGTTTTAATTGAAAAAAAAAATCTCTTTTAATAGCTGGATTTTTTTTTTTTTTACTAAAACTAAGCAGAAGGGTATATCCTAAAGAGAAGTTCCATGACAATTATGACCTGCAAAATATCAAGCCCCACAGCATTCGATCACCTGTATACATATGTTTTCTCACGCTGGAGCTTTCAGATTCACTTCTGTGGAAAAAGCCAGAGAATGTTTCAGCTCTTTGAGCATTCACATAAAAAAGGCTTATTATTTCAAATCACCTTGGCATCATCTCTTTAAGAAACAAATTTACGAGCAAAAACTTAAACTGCAAGGTGCAATTCCATTTACTACAATCACTGGCTTGTCCACAGACCAGAGCAAGCAGCAATTAGAGCATTTAACCACCACAACAACCACTCTGACAGAGAGAAGCCAACTCTCTCTCCTCTATAAGACAGACAAACACAGGCACCTCTCACAGAAAACCTTTTATTTGTCAGTTACTATCCTTCAAATCCAAATTTCCCCAGAAGCATTTGGTATAAATACACCAACTTCATTTCTGGTAACCTTAGAAAATAACACTAACAAAGGTACAGAGTGGAAACTTTACTGCAAAGGTTTATTCTAATAAACATTTTAATTCCAAGTAATATCATGTATAATGTATAATAATTAATGTTCTTATTTACTAAATTAATATTAATTATCACTAACAATGTGCTCATTTATTTTATGATTAATAAAATTAAATTACATTTTAATATTCTTTAATTAATATTTTATTCTAACTAATATTCTAAACAAATTATTCTAATTTATAACTTTTTCCTCCCTGTGAAACTAAGCAGAAAGGGCAGCATCGAGTGATTCTAATACAATATACATGGAAAACAACCAGAAAATTATTAGAACCAGATACTAAAATGCCAAATACAATCATACAGTTTCAATTGTGCCTTACCAGTCTACTCTGAAATTCAAAGCTCCCTAAAAAGCTGCTTAACAACATAGAAATATCCCCAAAAGGGAAGAAAGAGGAGTATGTTGGTGAGGTGAGAGTTGTCAGAGCCATCCTTCAAACAATTTGATGTTCAAGCTCCAGTTGTCTGTCTGGGGCAACCAAGAGAATTTATCCTATTGCACAATAATTTACAGCTGGACTGAAATGTCCATTCCAAAGGCAATAAAACTCAGGAGGTCCAAGAGTTTAAGGACTGTTCTTCCACTTTGGAAAGAGGTTCTCTGGTTCATTATACGACTCTCTTTGAAAATCAAGAGGTGCCCTTTTCCGAGCTCATACAGGAGGGAACGTGTTGCCAACTCTTGAGACGGGAACACTCCCAGGACAAGCACAGGAGGTTGAGGTTCAGGTCACAAAAAAGATAACCACATGACAAGCAAGCATTGCTGGGGGATAGTTCCATGTCTTTCAGCAAAAATAAAAAACAAAAGCAGGGGTGGAGGCTTTTTTAATACATATTTTAAGAGTTTTCACACTTTGTGTAAAGCCCCAGTGACTACTGAACATAGAGAAGAATGCGGGAAGGTGGCTGAGTGCCTGAAGCAAACATGCCAGAACTCAAGAATTTAGAACAAATAAGGAGTCATGGCTCTTGTTAGAAACTCCCTTCCTTACCAACTCACAAGAAAGAAATAACTGGAAGGGCAGGACTCAAGTCAGCAGCAATCCTGTCGGTAGAAAGGAATGAAAAAGAAAGGGGGAATAAAGCTTTTATCAGCTTCTATCTCATCACTGGGAGAGTGGGACGAGACCTGCAAAGTCACAGACAACCTCTGCCCCTCCAGTAGATACAACGTGATGATCTGAAAGAGACGTCTAGTGTAGATAATGTTTACAAAATTAAATATGGAGAGAATTTGTTATTTATGCCACAGCAAATCCAAGCAACTGTCTGAAAAAACGTTCAAGCCTCCTGCAATATCTCTTGGCAGCAGAACCAAAGTTTTGCCAATAAAACAATTCATGCCACAAAGGACCTACACAAGCTGCCCTTCAGGACTAAACACCAACACTAATATTAAAAATTCCCAAATATGAACCCTTGAAAATTATTCATCATTATGACATTTATTTCCTCCTCTTCAAACACTACACAAAATAGACGTGTAGGAGAAATAATTCTTTCCTTGTCAATTTTAAGTTAATTCTCCAGGGAAATCTTTCAGTAAAAAAAGTAAAAATTGAAGTTACAGAATTATTACAGTACTTTGAAAACTTGGAAGAATAAGATATTAGTATAAAAAGATTGAAGGTAACATTAAGACTGTAAAAAGGGAGCATTAGGTCTTCAGAGTTAATACAGGACAGCCAAAGAGACTACTGGAACAATGAAAGTCAAAAACAATTAAAGATTAGAAAAATATTTGAATTAAAACAGTAAGCTTCAAATACTGGAAACTGCATCCAAGTAAGGATACCAAGAAAGCACAAGCTCTGGAAAATTAGAGGTAACATCAAATTAAAGTTAAAAGGAAAAAAAAAGAAACACTCAAGTTGTTAAAGAGCAATTTGCTGAAGATCTGAAAATTTGCATTTTTTTTATTTTTTCTTTAACATGTTACAATCAGTAGGACTGCGTAGAACTGATGCTCAGATAGGAAAGTTCCAGGGAAACAGAGAATTAACAAGAAAGCCAAATAATTCATATCAGTTTTCCCTACATGGGAACTTAGAGAAGGCCATTTGTTCCTTTGTGAGACAGGAATTAAAGAACCCATCTCAGTGTCAGTAAATGAGATTTGAGAGGCAAATCACATTCATGCAAGTGTGATAAAGGAACTCCAAGGAGATTTTGCTGAACTACTACATTTAAGTCCAGCCATCAATCTGTTGCTCCAACTAGGCTCTTTATCAGAGAATTTCTAACATCCTATTGTTTCAAGGATTTTAAGGTAATTGAGTGAATCTTAAACCATTAGTTCAACACTACATAAATAAAGTTTTTATTCAAAGTGTGTAAGCTTAAAAAAAAAACCACCTTAAAACACTCAAAATAATAAATGGATCTAAAGTTGATTAAATTATGTACCATAATGGCCTACTGACCTTTTGGGCTGAGAAATGCCAGGCATAAATCACAGATTTCTGGAACTGGGAAAGACTGGTCCGCATATACACAATTTCTCCCCCCTTTTCCAAACTCATAGTTCACACTGAATATTTAGTTGGTTGGGGAGGGTAGATTTTGTGTCTGCTAAGTCTAGTTAAGTAGATGTTAGTTACCACTCATCCCAGGGAAGGGACAGAACTCCACCTTCAACATTTCACACAATGTGAAGGGTCATCAGTGGCTTCCCAGTTTCTTGTAGAGGTTTGGGGTCATTTTAGCTCCTTTTTAAAGTTTGGGTTGAACACATCTAAAATAAATAAATTGTGTTTGGGTAGGTTGGTTTTGTGGTTTATCATGGTATCATACACACATGAACACACACATATTAAACCATCATCTAGTTTTATTTCATAAACTTATGGGCTCAGAAGCATTTCAGAGAAAAATATGAATTAGTACAGAGTTTCCTGTTTCTGCAAAACCCAAATAATCCACTCTTCATGGACTAATCTGGAAGACGCAGGACAAAAATACACCATGGCACCACAAAAATCTCATCTCCCATACATCCACCTTCCCATCACCTCATCGTACACCCCCCAAACTTTCTCACCCACCCAGTTGAAGTGATCATATAAATTATATTTTATATCTCTCTATGAAATGAAATATAAAACTATTCAGAAAAATAAAGCAGACCCCATAAACACAACATCTGTCCTTTCTGAACAGAATGATATACAAACTATTGCATTATGGTAAAAGTCTAAATTAAATGAAGATGAATTAAAGCATCAGTTGGACCATATATAGACAATAATATCAAACCCAAAAGTTCTTGAAAGGGTTTTACTCTTTTTTCCATCTACCATGTCAACTGCTAATGAAAAGGAAATAATGTTGGATCAAACAAACAGAGCCTAAAGGGAAGAATACTAAAAATCACAGCATCCAAACATTTTCCATTTCTGTGATCTTCTTTATTAGTTCATGATGTTTGCTTTTGAGAAATCTTTCCTAAATTTCATGTTCAAGATTTTCTTTTAAAAGTGACACAAAACTCTACACAGTAGGTTGTAAATGAAAAAACTACAATTACAAGTAACATTTTCAGTTGATTGATTTATCATTTGAACATCTCAGAATAACGTGCAAATTTAAGCCAATACTGATATCAAACAATAAAATTCAAGAAATCTTATTGTTTTTATTGAAAGTTGAGTTAACAGTGTCTTAAATATCTATTGTATAAATTAATTTCTGTCTACTGCAGAACTCAGGGTATAATGCAAACAAAAGTCAGACACACTGAATTGTGCCATGTTTTTAAAATCTTACAATGCCACTTATGGTTCCAAAAACAGTCACAAAATTGGGGCCATGGGAACTTCAGGCAAGTGACAGTTACCCTGTGATCTAGAAATTTCTTTCAGGGGTACTGAGATTACTCGAAGTGACAGCAGAGGATATTCTTCAGTAACATTTAACACAGCACTAAACCCCAGTGCAGCTGCCGTGCTGCAAGGAGGGCTCACCCCAGTGAACAATCTCACTGTAGGTCTGTCTCCAGCTTAGTTTTGAAGATACTTTAAACAAGAAGTCCTTGAGGGGGTTGGCAAGTTTTCTGCATCCTGACTCCTCTCATTTCCCCATCAACTGAAATCATGGAGTATTTTCACATTCACTCTTTATATTTCGCTTCTCTTCTGTTTTCTTTGAACAGCCATCCCTTCTAAAAATGGGACATCAGGAAGGGAAGAGCAGCTTTGGCACTGATGGCAGGC